AGGTACCATGGACATCTTATTTCACCATTCTGCTTTGTTCATAGATTAAACAATTGGCTTTACCCTCCCTACTCATTTGTAGTAGATTGTCCCCAGTAAGGTTTGTCCCTGAGTCTCTTTCCCAAAGCTAAGATCATGGAAAAGGTGCAGGAGGATATAGATAGGGGGAACAATCTTACACAGTGTTTCAAAATCCCCAGTGTAGAATAAGAAGACATTAAAGTACCATATGCAATTGTGTCTGTCTGCATATGGCTCTCTGTTTTGTCTTCATAGTAACAAGAACTTTATAGTCAGCCTTCTTTTATTTTCTTGTGATTAAATTCTTGCCATCATTGATACGGTCTAAACCTAAAAGCTTCTTCTTGCTCTGAGGAAGTATTGTGGATTTTGGATACTTGTTTTCATTCGTCTTTCAGGCACGTTCTGTACATCCGCAAAATGGTCACTCTGTTCTCTGTATGCCAGGGTAACAGCAATGGGGTGTGGACCACTGGTTTTGGTCACAGTGTTGCTTATGTTTCCGTATTTCCTTGTTCTGCCTTGGATGTATCTCTTTTATTGTTTTTTAAACCTGGGTATGGCCTTTTACTTGAATAAGCAAAAACGTGTGCATGCTTTTTTCCCCCTTCACTTTCTCTGGATGGGAGTTTCAGGGCATACCTACCCAAAAATGTACCACTTGAGTGGTTTTCTTAAATAATACAGTGCATAAATATGGATTTAATTATCTGTTGTAAATTCCCCTGGTACATGATTATACTGATATGACCAGTTTGTATAGTGATAATATCCCCTTTTTCTGCATTTGTTTATGCATGTTCTATCGCTGTCAGTGTAAACTTGGTCTCAGCAGAAAAGTTCTTTCTAAATATGACATGGTAACCACAAGTAATGTAATAATGTAGTAGATAATGAGTTTATGGCCACTTCATGTACACATGGGTTTGTTTTGTTGCACCTCAGTTTGTGTTTTACAGAAAATTATTTTCTTGTTCTGATTTTTTTCCTGTTAGTTGATAGTTCTGCCCTAATACAGTTAGAGTCTGAAAAATGCAACTCGTACAACAAATTTGATCCTGCACACTCCAAAAAGAACAGTAAAAAAATACATTTGTTCTTAAATGTGGAGGTTCACTTAATTGCAGCTTAAGTAAATAGC